AAAAAACTGAACAGATTTGAAATTGCTCTCAATTTCGCAAAACAGCTATTAGTATCCAGTTTTTGATATATATAGTTTTTTTGGGTACTTATAATGTAGAATAATAAAAAAAATTTCTCGAACTCAAATTATGTAAACCAGGGGTGTGTGTGTCTTTTCCAACAAACTAAAAATGGCTTGCGCACGAAATTTAAAAGCTTTAATCGTATTTTGAGTTGATAGATGGAAATAATTACTGTACAAAATTTCAGACAATTTGCTTTAATTTAAGCCCCTTTAACTATTCATTTTTCTCTAAAAAATTAGCCTTTCGCGTGCTTAATTATGCCTTTACCTAATTTGCATATTGCTGACATATGCAAATTAGGCAAAGGCATTAATTAGCATGCAAATAGCTAATTTTTTAAGAAAAAATGTAAGTTTGCGTGAATAGTTAAAGGGCTTAAACTAAAGCAAATTGTCTGAAATTTTGCACAGTAATTAAAAACCCAACAAATTCTCCATCTATTAAAGCTTTTAAATTTCATGCGCAAACCATTTTTAATATGTTGGAAAAGACCCCCCCCCCCCCCTGGTTCACAAAATTTGAGTTCGAGAATTTTTTTATTATGCTACATTAGAAATACCCAGAGAAGCTATATACAACAAAAAGTGGATACTAATAGCTGTTTTGCGAAATTAAGAGCAATTTCAAATCTGTTCAGTTATTTTTGATACACTCTGTATAACAAAACACTTAATGTCTGTTCCTTTGAGAAATAGTTTCGTTTCTCGTCCAATCTCAATGTTTACCTCGACTTCGTCTCGGAAAACTTGAGACTCTCGGGGAAACAAAACGATTTCCCTCGGGAGCAGACATGAGACATCAAGTGTATATTGTTATATAACTATAGTGGTTAACGCAAGCGTGATTGGCTGATTTGTTGTCAAAATTGTTCCCCGCTCACAGTTCAAATTAAATAACAGTGGAGTCGCAATTTAAACTCAGAGACCCAATAAAGATCTATATGATCGCAATTATGCATGAGTTGTTTGTGGTTCAAGAGAATGCGCACAAAAAGTCCACCCAAGGTAATTTTGACAAAATACTTTCGAAAACATAAAGTTTGTGATGTCACAGCTCTTGCTGTGACATATAAAACCGTCCGTTTTTTGTTTACATCATAAACTCTGGTACTTTATAGTATTGAAATTTAGCATACATTCAGTATAGCCCCTATATCACCTTGAGATTTAACTATAACCTCTATGTCGTAAAATAAACCGAATGTATTTGTATGACTAAATAAGCTGCTTTCCTACATTTTTCTAATTTGAAAGGAAATGTCATGGTTTAAAGGAAATGTCATGCCTCTAACATGTCCTGAATTTGACTATAGGAATACGTACAGTATAATTATTGCTGTTACTTTATCTTATAATACAACTACAGTAATAAACCCTAAAATCATCATATTGATTATTAACTGTGGTGTATTGTTTATTAGATGTCCACAATTAAATTTTGACTTCATCAGATGTCTTTTCCACCACTGGAGACAATACTATATCTGGAATTTCCTCTTCTGTATCTTCGGATGAAATTTCTTCAGACATTTCATTTTTAACGTCCAAATCTTTGATCTTGGAAGGTGGTTGAATTGGTATATCTCGCAGATCTCCTGTTGTTTCTCGGAATGTGCTGTTGTGTCGATATTCTTCAGTCTTCGGTTGTTCATCGGTTACACTGTGTGATTCAGCGTTTGAATTTTTCGTTGGAACCTATATGATGAACCAGTTTAAAAATATATATTTGTCTATTCTCGTTACTACACATTATTTTGCTTGTTCACCTTCACCACCTTTTTAATTAATACGCTTTTCATCGTCTGCATCGGCGGCGAGAGCCGGCTCAGCCGTGTACTTGGCATTCGAAGTGTCCCGAACTCTGGAAGGCATGGCTTTGACCTTATATAGGTCACACCGATTGTATATAGAGTATTAATGAATTATGTAAAATATATCGCCTTTATTGCGAACAAGTTTTTCCCTTACGAATTTATAAGGATACCTGCGATAGACACCTTAATTAAAGAGAGGTACATTGGTTATCACGGTGAGATCTTTTGACGGTTATATATATTGTTATGTAGAATAACATACCTTTATTGTATTGTCGGATGACATTTCAGCAGTGACAAAATCGTTATAAACTGCGATGTCGGAGGGTTCTCCTGGAACATTTTGAGGTATAGATGATGGGAAGTGTTCAGAAAGATTGGACATCGGAATATAGTTACCCTGCATCTCTTCACCATAACTGGTAGATTTTGTCGGCTGATTCTCAACTATTTTCTCTTCGAAAAAATTGACCTTGTTCATAAGTTTTGGTGCAATTGGCGTGGATGGACGACTATATTGATTATTCCACTTTTCTCCATTGCTTGGTATCACCAGACCAGCTCCCAGAGTTTCATTTTGAGATATATCAATTTCCGGGATATTTTGAGATGAATCAGCCTCAGATGGTTTGAATTCATTATCTCCATTCGCTTCTATTTTTTCAGATGCTGACTGGATTACTGTTGTTTGGTCTTTAACGATTGCATCGCTTTCACCATTGACGGTGTCTGTCAGTTGACTCTGGTTTTGGATTTGGGGTATTTTCATCTTGGACACTGAAAATTGTTGAGATGCTCGTCCTGGTCCAGATAAACTTGAACTTTGAACTATGTGCGGTATAGAATATTGTTGGGTGTCATAACGCGTTTGAAATGCCGAATTATGTTCTGAATGGAGCAGTTCAGAATTTGGGAGCTGTTGGGGTGCACGTTGCAACCCAGGTTTCTCACCTGACGCATATAATGGATTGATCGCTCCTCCGGGTCTCCCATATTCATAATTAGTAAATACCGGGGAGTTCAGACCCATATGTCTGTATCCACTGGACATAGACTGATGGATATCTGGCTGAAAGCCATAATTCTGGTATTCATATGGTTCCTGGGCGTTCTGCATTGATGGCGGTTGCTGGAAACGACTTTCTGCAAGAGATTGCCTTACATATGGCGAGGATTGTAATGACGTCATGTTTTCAGGTGGTGGTGGATGAAAGTATGGCGAACTTCTGTCGACATACAATTTTTCAGGCTGCCTCATATCATATGCAGATGATAGTTGATTGAAATTTGGTGCAATCGTTTTGTGGTTAGGTCGTTGATTAAAACTTTGTCTCTGTTGCAAGCCAGGATTTTCTATCGAGTGGTGATCCTGAGAGTAAACACTTTTGTTGGGCTGCGCTGTAGCGAACCACTGGTTGTTGCCATAAGGTGTCTGTGTTTGGAAAATTAAGTAAGAATGGTTTGTTGTCACGGAATTTGATGAGAAATTCAATCTTTGAAAGACTCAAAACATGCTGCAAAGGTTCGGGGTTGGGGGTGGGGGGATGGTGAGCATATACTATATTTTAATGTTTTGGTGTGTTAGCTCATCCTTGAAGGCCTACCTTTCGATTATCCGCCCGTAAATGATTATCAGTTTTGTCCGAAAATATTCTTGTCTGAAACAATTGGAGGCTGAAGCATTACAATTTGTCAAGAATTAGGCTTTTTATTATCTTAGTGAGTTAAAATTGTTAATTTGTTGCTTTAGCATTAATATTTGCATTTAGAACCAAATGAACCTTAAATGTGCTATACTCTACTTTGTAAATACGTTTTCCAAATGTTTGTAAATTTTTTCCCAAAAATTTATATTTTTCAAGTTATCTTTCTTCTTGTTCACCATAAATGAAACACGCACATTTCTGTTTAGAGATTGGGAAATTTTCTAAAATTCTATTAATTTCTAGTTATCGTTAAATAATAGATGGATTTGATACCTGATCATAAGCTTTCAAAATTCCAGACGTTGTTCCTGGATTTCCTGCATCGTATTTGGTCTTAATGCCAAGGTTATAACAATTCGTAGGATAGCTGTGCTGACTGTTTCTCATAATATGTCCAGCATGCGGCTGCAATATATCTTGGAATGTTGAAATTGACTGATACGGGAAAGCCAGTCGCTTATGTGTTGTGCCTGCATTATGATCTCCAGTGTCTTTTGTTTCTGGAGTAATTTGCAATGTTTTATTTCTTTTCGTAGATTTCTTGGTTAATGTTTGTTCTGTGTGGTCACTTCGTTCCCTTTCATTTCCGTGCTTCGTCAACTTTGCATATCGGTTGCAGGGTGCATTACCTTCATTAGTAGACTCACTTTCGGAAGTTTCCGTTCCAGATTCATCAGAATATTCTTCAGATCTGTTACGAAGCCTTTGCTGTTGAATTTTCTCCCCTGAAAGACCAGTGGATTGTGTTTCAAAATTTGATGCAGTGCCAGTGATGGTAGTGTTGGAGGTGCTGTTATTAGTATTTTTGGTGGTGTTCTTTATTTCTTCCACATTTTCTGTTATTTCTTGTAATGTTTGCTTCATATCACTCATATCAGTGTTATCTATCTGCTTGACTTTTTCTGTTATTTCTTGCAATGCTTGTTTCATATTTTTAACGTCGACAATAAGTTCTTCCTGAAATCGTCTTACTTTACTTACGTCCATTTTTACCCAATCCATATCAGATTTCTTTCCTTTGCCAAATTTTCTTCCGAATCTTTCGCCAAGCATATTAACAATCACCTTCACGTCATCACGAACACGTTCAATGCTCGCATGATCTTCACCACCCATCACTAGTAACCGACCGAGGGTTTTTACAATAACTTCTGGACTTCCGTTGGTTTTAATGAAGTCATAATATTCATTTATTTGTTTTTTTCTTAACGACTTTTGGAGAAGAAGTATAGTTCGAGCTCTCTGCATTACGGCGTTCTCAACTGCGTTCTGGTACAATCTTTCGAATGTGTTCGAAAGTAAAGCAATGAGTAGATTTATGGTGACTATTGCAGCAATTGCGATGAACGTACCACACAGCAATCTCGCCATGACAGGATTTGCTTTTTCTAAACATTCATAATTATGATTATCAACAACCATCATGGAGAAGATGTTGTATAACAACGAGCCGACGGTGTCGTAACCGGGAACAGGTTTCAAGGAGGTTGCCCCAAATGTTATCCAAAATGCACAAGTAAATGGAATGACTATAATGGAGTTCAAAAATGCCCATTTTATGATGTCGCCCAAAACATGGCCAAAGATGACTACAAAAGGACCGGCACTTTCGAACGGTCTGGCATATTTAAAAATTCTAAACCAGAGAATTAGCAGTAGTGGTATTATGATATATTGATGGACTTCTTTAGATGTATCGGTACTGTAGTGGAAAAACGTCACATGAGATGCAATGGTTGCTAGGATAAACACGAGTGCAGCCCAGTCAAAATATATCCACCAATCAGATCCGGAGATGAGAGATAGGTTTCTCACAGCCTTGGTCTCTGCTGTAAGATATTGGTCCTCTTGCGACCATCTTGGATGACAATATGCCAGATCTCTTTCAAGTTCAGCAGCACGCCATTCCCGCCATTGCTTCAATTCATGGCGGGTTTTCATTGTGTCTGAAAAGAAAAGAAATTTCTCGTTTCTCAATTCACATCCAATCATCTTCAAAGATAGAGAAGTAATATATGAACAACGAGAGCGAGTGTTTCACCGGGATATCCAAACACGAGTAAACAATGTATGAAAACACGAGCGCGAAGCGCGAGTGTTTTCATACATTATTTTCGAGTGTTTGGATATCCCGGTGAGACACGAGCTCAAGTTGTTCATATGGCTTCTCAAATGATTCGAGATGTACATAACAGAATGTTTTCGTTTGCTGATTTGAATAGAATTCTTAACCAAGCATAACGTAATTAGCAATTCTATTCAAGTAATTTTGCATGCGTAATTAAGATATTTGATGAAAACACTAGTGACTTTCATCAAGTTTCACCGGGTTATCCAAATGGCATCTTGTGATCAAATAGGTGATTATCATTGTCTGAATTGCTCATGAATTATTAATGAATTTGAGAATTAATGAGAAACGTCCATAGTAAAATTACTTACTCATGATCTGCTTCCTAATCTCCGCAATTGTAAATACGAGGAGCAAATTTCCAATTATCAATCTCCAAGAGTTTTGTGCCAGTGGCAAATAAAGATCTTGTCCATTGCTCGGCAAGGTGATTGCAACTACAGTCCACAATATGGTGTAGACAAGATTTATTACCAGATCAAAGATGGCGCCCCATTTGCCGTACATTTGCCACTTCACTGCAATCAGGCGTTGCATGACGGGATGCATGATGATGTCAAATCTCTCATTCTGAACAGCTATCTCAAGAGGAGTTCGAGCAGGCGTTTTCTGTCCTTTTAACTTTGTTCCTTCAAGATAGTTAAGAAAGTAAAATTTTTTACGATTGATCGTGTCTACTGAATGAAACTGATCCATTGCATCCAAAGCCACTTCAGGAATCTTTTCAATGAGGAGACACAAGGCAGAGTTTCCCAGGTTGTCATACACACCAGCCGGAGCGCCTTCGGCAATCAAGAGTTTGGCAGCTTTAGAACGATTCATCTCAGCTGAAACCTGTGAAACCCAGTTTGTTAACAATCAGTTTGCCGTGGACATTGGCGAAATTGAAAACATGCTGAATCAATAGATTGTGGTATTTTCTTATAGAATCATGTTTAATTAATTGAATTCCGTGTTGATTTTTTGTAAATAGTGATGGGAATTCTTTAACTATCGACAAAGAAAGATACTTGCACTGTAAAAGTAAACGTTCATGCACTTTCTCAATAAATTCTTATTAATCCGTAAGAGTACCTAAATTCGTCTTGTATGTCCAGCAAAGTATATGCCGTAAAACTATTTAGTTATTTACATGGTTTACAGACTATATGTTCCCACATAGTTACTCTCGCATAAACACTGAATTGAGCCATAAAAAGATGTGGAATTCCCTAGCATGTCCATACAGCTGTTGTTGTTACTTTAGAGCACCTGAATACTTTGCGCCTAACGCGGGACCTAGAAAGTATTCTGGAAACGTGTCTGAACTCGACTTTGATTTCCCTACCTGTAGTGGTGTTCTGTTCTTGCTGTCACGTGCGTCAATGTTTGCTCCGTAACCTAGTAACATCTGAATAGAGTTAATGGCGTCATTTTTAGCGCCATAATGCATTGCAGTCTGTCCTTCACCAGACGTTTTAATATCAATATCAGCTCCATTTTGAAGAAGAAACTCCACCATTTCAGCATAATCTACTGCCGCAGCAACGTGAAGTGGTGATCGACCATACTGATCTTGTTGGTTCACATTTGCACCTAAAACGACAAAGACAAACAAAAGTTATCTAGCGCTATAGCCTTGACTCTATCATTAATCGTTATGGAATTAAAACTCGGGTAAATTATATTCTGAGATGACATTACTCGAAGAGCCGGTTCTCCTTCGGGTTCGGGCAAGCTGAAGAAGTGTGGGAATCGAACCCGCGACATTCTTATATAGCGTTTAGTCTCAGTCGCCGCCGCGCTTGAATGAGAATGGTGGTCGCGGTACCGAAACGAAGATTGTCATCGCTTTATATTCACTCTGTCACGGAGTTATGCGCCAGTCAGGCACAATACCGGACTCGCTTGTCACGACATTACGGTTGCAGGAATATCTATTAGGATAATACTGTATAACAAAATGAATATTATGTATATTACTACTTGCAATGTCACATTATAATCTTTTTATTGAATAATATCGCATAAATCTTAATATTTTTAGAAGCTTAAGTTAATAAAACGTATACCATGTTTGATGAGAAATGTCGCGACATCAATATTCCAAGATCTTGCCACTTCATGAAACACAGTTTGTCCAGTTTTGTCTGCACTGTTAATATCTGCTCCGTTGTTAAGAAGAGATTGAACGAAAGCATAATCAAATGTATCGCTGGTGCTGTTTGAGTTTGCCAATGTTGCAAGGTAGTGTATGAGGGCGCTGTTTCTGACATTCTGTGACTGCTCTCCTTCTAGTAGCACACTTTCACTCAGTTCACCTTCAAGGACCGCGTGCATTGGTTCATTCACACGACTGCTACCTAAATATGAATTAAAAATATGCATATAATTATGAGATATGATATCGCTTGCCCTCTAAAGGTCGTAAATCGCTATCATGTTGACATTTTACTATATTTATCGATAGGAATTTTTTCACTGAATCGAATTGTGGTATTTTCATCTACATAGCATGCACTGAACCGAAGATATGAACCTGCAAAATACCAGGACGGTTTCGCCCTGGTTTTATCAGGGCCAAACGAAAAAGAGTTAAAAAGTTTAAGACAGGCAGTTTGTCTTCGATCGTAAAATGATTCCATCCCAGCTTCAAACAATGCATTTTCATAATGTAACTTCGGATATACAATTCGAAGCATTCGCTTTGTACGCGCTCGATTTCATCACTCAAGTATTTTGGTAAGGAGTAATGAAAACAGTCCAAGCGTATTCTACAATGGAGTGGACACAGACAGTATAAAATTGCAGAATATCTTGGATCGGGACTTTCGCTCGTTTTAATTGCACTAACAGGTATATCCGTCTCGAAATTTTTGAGACTACATTATTCATTTGCATGCTGGATATTACTTGAAGCAAGTTTGGGTACAGTTTCAGACATCATAAGATCGTCTACGAATTTTACCTGGTTCATATATACTAGATGTTTCAAGATCATTTATCATCAGGACGAAAATCCACGGCCCTAGCGTGGTTCCTTGCACGAGGGACACCGGCCGGAATATTCCATGACTCGGAAAAACTGGCGACTTCAGCTTGACTATCATATAAATGCCCTATAACTTTGGTATTCAGTGGCGGCGCCAGGCCTCAGAATTTGGGGGGGGGGCATTTGAGGGGCAAACTCATATTTTGGGGGGGCAAGATAGAATTTTTAAAAAGGTACTGCTATTTGCCCATGTCGTTGTCACAGGATTTCCCCCCCCCCTCCAGGAGATTCGCCCTCCTCTCAAAAGGGGGCGATATTCCTAGCCGGAATACCGCCCCTGGGGGACGAATATTCTAGGAATATCGCCCCCCCCTTTAGGATATTCGCCCCCCATATATGCGATGTGGTTTATTCAAATATTTTCCTGATACTTTCATCTTATTGGTGCCTTAAGGTTTTCACTCATTCATTGTTTTTCAAATATTCGGGACCACTTAGCAATTTTAGCTATTTGGTCTGCATACCTTGTAAAATTTTTATCCGTTGATGGTTTTATTTGTTTTTGAAAACTGAAAATTCGCGTCGCGTTGCCGAATCGCGTCCGGTCTGTGTGGGCCTTTACAGGTTTGAGAATTTAACTTTGCAAAACTAGAGCTTTTTTGTCTTTTTTGAAACGTATTATTGGAGTATTGGCAAGTTTTACCATTCAGAGATTTATAAACTAATATCGAAACTGTAAAAGACAGTTTCATGTATACGCGCATTCACTAATGAGTAATGACAACTTATAAGCCATACATTTTCCGATAACGACAAAACGCTTGTGTAGCCTTTAGTCGCTCTCAGTGACTAATAAATTTTTTTGAGGGGGGGGGGGCAAAATGGGGGGAGGCAAAAATAATTGGGGAGGCATTTGCCCCCTCCCCCCTTGCCGCCACCCCCTGGCGCCGCCACTGTTGGTATTTAATTTTACAAAAACCGTCGCAGTGTGATAGTATTAGATTAGAATATGGGTTAAGATGTCGGCTAGGCTAGGCTAGGCTAGGCTAGGCTAGGCTAGGGTATAAGGAATCGGATTAGATCGATGGTACAATTAGAGATTGGGGCAAAGATTTGAGAAAGCTATGTAAGGTAAGAGCTAGAAATAGTTTAAAACAGCAATGCACCAGTCAATGTAAACCGCGTCCCCCCAGAAAGCTAATTATAGGGCCTATATAAGATCTAGTAATAGTTTAAAACAGTAGTGCACCAGTCAATGTAAACCCCGCCCCCCCCCCCCAACCGGAGAGGGGCGGGGGATTTAGGGGGGAAAGTTGTCAGTTTTGAATGTAAATGTGTCCCCGATGATCTTATTGTTGAAGCTAAACTATACAGGTGATAAAGCATTTGGAAATGCTTTGTGTGCATACTTAAGATCAATAAGATCTGGAAAGACCACCTATGATAGTAGTAAGTTTTTTTGACAAGGCAGGCGGCAATCGAGTCGCCCAAAGGACTGGACAACATGCCTAATGTATCTAGCACACGTTGCAAAAATGATACAACAGTAGAAAGTAATCCATTATTACATAATAAAATATAACATAGTCAAATATATAATGAAACAGAAATGGGTAGCGATTTTTCGGATAAAATTAATTGTCTTCCCAATCAGCGTGGATTTAAAATGGCTTTTTTAAATATAGTAATCTTGCCAAAAAGATTTGATGAAATTAACTTAACTATGTCAAACAAATTACTCGATATAATATCATTTAGTGAGACCAGACTTAATTCAACAATAACTGATGGTATGATTCATATAGATGGGTATGACATTATAAGAAAAGATAGGTCTAGAAATGGTGGTGGTGTTTGCATTTACCTACGTAATTCTATAAACTATCAAATCAGACAAGATCTTATACCAGCCGATCTAGAGCGATCTAGAAGCTATATGCATAGAGATAACTAAACCGCATAGCAGACCATTTGTGGTTGTTACGGTTTATAGACCCCCAGATGCTTCATCGAATTTTTTTATCCATCTTGAAAACCTATTAAAAAAGATTGATAATGAAAACAAGGAAATCTATATACTGGGTGATATTAACTGCGACCTTTTTTTAAGTCTATTCCTGACCATCCAACTAAGACACTTAAATCTTTACTCGAAATTTATCAATTATCCCAGATAATTGATAAAGCCACACGGATCACTAGGACATCTTCCACACCTATTGATAATTTTATTACCAATGAACCAGGAAAAATATCCAAATGTGGTGTAATACATACTGGAATTAGTGACCACAGTCTCATTTATGGCATAAGAAAGATTAACATTCGACACAAAGATAATGATAACATAATTGAAATTAGAAATATGAAAAAATTCAATGAACAGCAGTTTTACAAGACCTAGGAACTCAAACATGGGAACATGTCTATTTTTTGCAGACAATCCTGACACTATGTGGGAAATTTGGAAACAACTTTTCTTACAAGTCCTAGATAAACATGCCCCAATTCAAAACAAAAAAACAAAATCTAAAAAAATCCTTGGATTACTAGTCATATTAAAAAACTAATAATTGCAAGAGATAATTTGAAAAGAAAAACAATTATCACTAAACTTGAAACAGATTGGGATAACTATAAAAAAGCCAGAAATGAAACAAACAATCTTCTAAGACAAACCAAAAAGGAATATTATTCCAATAAAATAGCGACTGAAAAGCAAGATCCAAAAGCTGCTTGGAAGACAATTAATACCTTACTTGGTAAACAAAATCAAAGAACTAAAGTAAACGAATTAAACTTAAATGACATAAAATTAACAAGCCCTGATGAAATTTCTGAGGGCTTCAATACCTTCTTTTCAAATATTGGACCGAATTTAGCCGAAGAAATTAGTACACCAGGATGTCATTCTAAAGACTTCCTTCACAAAACTAATTCTGAATTTACTGCATTCCAGTCAGTTACTGTTAGTCATGTTTGTCTTTTATTACGTGAACTGTCTGGTAGCAAAGCTACTGGCCTGGATAAAATATCCAGCAAGATAATCAAAATTGCTGCACCATTAATTTCCGATTCATTGACTTGCATCTTTAATCAAGCAATAACTTTATGTACTTTTCCACATGAATGGAAAATTGCAAGAGTAATTCCCCTTTTTAAGAATGGCAAACGAAACTTGCCAGGAAATTATCGACCAATTTCTGTGTTACCAGCCATTAGTAAAGTTATGGAACGTATCCTATATAGTCAACTTTATGAATATTTGAGTGCAAATAACATACTTTCTGAACATCAATTTGGTTTCAGAAAATTTCATTCAACTGCAACAGCTTTACTTGATTGCAAAAATGATTGGTACATAAACATGGATAGAAAACTTTTTAATTTGGTTGTATTTGTAGACTTAAAAAAAGCCTTTGATACTGTTGACCATGAGATCTTATTGCAAAAACTAAAACTAGTTGGAATCACAGGAAGTGCATTTCTATTACTCAAATCATACTTAACTGGTCGTACTCAAAGATGTGAAGTCAATGGATCTATTTCAGGGGAAAATGACATCAAATGTGGTGTACCCCAGGGGTCTATATTGGGGCCACTATTCTTCTTACTCTATATTAATGATCTACCTGCATGTCTGAGTAAAACAAAACCACGGCTGTTTGCTGATGATACAAATATCACAGCAGCTGGAGAATGCTTAAGTGATCTTGAAGATGCAGTAAACTCAGATTTGAAATGCTTCGTAAATGGCACATGGCAAACAAACTGAGCTTGAATGTGGCGAAAACTGAATTTCAAATTATTGGTATTAAACAGATGCTGAAGAAACCTGTTCATGCAGCAACTTAAAATTCACATTCAAAACATACCCATAAAGC